AGGACACGCTCAGACCACTGAGCCACTGGCACTTCCACTCTTACTTATGAATTTTTGGTAATTTTGTCTTTTTTATTTGTTGAAAAACCAATGAAACTAAAGAGCTCAAGAGAGAGATTCAAACCTGGGACGCCCACGCCAAGCTCTAACGCTCAGACCACTGAGCCACTGGCACTTCAACTCTTACTTATGAATTTTTGGTAATTTTGTCTTTTTTATTTGTTGAAAAACCAATGAAACTAAAGAGCTCAAGAGACTGATTCGAACCTGGGTTGCCCACACCAAGCTCTAACGCTCAGACCACTGAGCCACTGGCACTTCAACTCTTACTTATGAATTTTTGGTAATTTTGTCTTTTTTATTTGTTGAAAAACCAATGAAACTAAAGAGCTCAAGAGACTGATTCGAACCTGGGTTGCCCACACCAAGCTCTAACACTCAGACCACTGAGCCACTGGCACTTCCACTCTTACTTATGAATTTTTGGTAATTTTGTCTTTTTTATTTGTTGAAAAACCAATGAAACTAAAGACCTCAAGAGAGAGATTCAAACCTGGGACGCCCACGCCAAGCTCTAACGCTCAGACCACTGAGCCACTGGCACTTTCACTCTTACTTATCAAAGTTTGGTAATTTTGTCATTTTTATTTGTTGAAAAACCAATGAAACTAAACACCTCAAGAGAGAGATTCGGACCTAGGTTGCCCACACCAAGATCTAACATTTAGACCACTGAGCCACTGGCACTTCCACTCTTACTTATGAATTTTTGGTAATTTTGTCTTTTTTATTTGTTGAAAAACCAATGAAACTAAAGACCTCAAGAGAGAGATTCAAACCTGGGACGCCCACGCCAAGCTCTAACGCTCAGACCACTGAGCCACTGGCACTTTCACTCTTACTTATCAAAGTTTGGTAATTTTGTCATTTTTATTTGTTGAAAAACCAATGAAACTAAACACCTCAAGAGAGAGATTCGGACCTAGGTTGCCCACACCAAGATCTAACATTTAGACCACTGAGCCACTGGCACTTCCACTCTTACTTATGAATTTTTGGTAATTTTGTCTTTTTTATTTGTTGAAAAACCAATGAAACTAAAGACCTCAAGAGAGAGATTCAAACCTGGGACGCCCACGCCAAGCTCTAACGCTCAGACCACTGAGCCACTGGCACTTTCACTCTTACTTATCAAAGTTTGGTAATTTTGTCATTTTTATTTGTTGAAAAACCAATGAAACTAAAGACCTCAAGAGAGAGATTCAAACCTGGGACGCCCACGCCAAGCTCTAACGCTCAGACCACTGAGCCACTGGCACTTTCACTCTTACTTATCAAAGTTTGGTAATTTTGTCATTTTTATTTGTTGAAAAACCAATGAAACTAAACACCTCAAGAGAGAGATTCGGACCTAGGTTGCCCACACCAAGATCTAACATTTAGACCACTGAGCCACTGGCACTTCCACTCTTACTTATGAATTTTTGGTAATTTTGTCTTTTTTATTTGTTGAAAAACCAATGAAACTAAAGACCTCAAGAGAGAGATTCAAACCTGGGACGCCCACGCCAAGCTCTAACGCTCAGACCACTGAGCCACTGGCACTTTCACTCTTACTTATCAAAGTTTGGTAATTTTGTCATTTTTATTTGTTGAAAAACCAATGAAACTAAAGACCTCAAGAGAGAGATTCAAACCTGGGACGCCCACGCCAAGCTCTAACGCTCAGACCACTGAGCCACTGGCACTTTCACTCTTACTTATCAAAGTTTGGTAATTTTGTCATTTTTATTTGTTGAAAAACCAATGAAACTAAACACCTCAAGAGAGAGATTCGGACCTAGGTTGCCCACACCAAGATCTAACATTTAGACCACTGAGCCACTGGCACTTCCACTCTTACTTATGAATTTTTGGTAATTTTGTCTTTTTTATTTGTTGAAAAACCAATGAAACTAAAGACCTCAAGAGAGAGATTCAAACCTGGGACGCCCACGCCAAGCTCTAACGCTCAGACCACTGAGCCACTGGCACTTTCACTCTTACTTATCAAAGTTTGGTAATTTTGTCATTTTTATTTGTTGAAAAACCAATGAAACTAAACACCTCAAGAGAGAGATTCGGACCTAGGTTGCCCACACCAAGATCTAACATTTAGACCACTGAGCCACTGGCACTTCCACTTTTGCTTATCAATTTTTGGTAATAAAAATGTTTCGCCCTCCTGTGGTGATTTGTGTGCATTACACCGTTGCAAATCGAGTCTAAATAAACGTAAAAATGTTTTGCCCTCCTGTGGTGATTTGTGTGAATTACAACGTTGCAAATCGAGTCTAAATAAACTTAAAAAGGTTTTGCCCTCCTCTGGTGATTTGTGTGAATTACACCGTTGCAAATCGAGTCTAAATAAACTTAAAAATGTTTTGCCCTCCTGTGGTGATTTGTGTGAATTACACAATTGCAAATCAAATCTTATAAACATAAAAGTGTTATCCTCTCCTGAGGTGACTATAGGCCTTGCAACTTCAGCCTTATTACCGCTAATCGGCTTTATCCTCCTGAGAAGATCTTTGCAAACTATATCGTCTAACGAGCTAGTGTAAATGCGCTACACTTCTGTAAGAGGGTGAGAGGAGAAAAACATAAGAACTTCCAAACAGAACTATTTACACTATCTATGTTCCGTCCTGTCTTCTGTTCAAAATTCAAATAGATATATTTGCAAATAAAAACACCAAAACAATATAAGTCCAGTGAAAGTAAAAGTGTTTCGCCCTCCTGTTGTGATTTGTGTGAATTGCACCATTGCAAATCGAGTCTAAATAAACTTAAAAATGTTTTGCCCTCCTGTGGTGATTTGTGTGAATTACAACGTTGCAAATCGAGTCTAAATAAACGTAAAAATGTTTTGCCCTCCTGTGGTGATTTGTGTGAATTACACCGTTGCAAATCGAGTCTAAATAAACGTAAAAATGTTTTGCCCTCCTGTGGTGATTTGTGTGAATTACACCGTTGCAAATCGAGTCTAAATAAACGTAAAAATGTTTTGCCCTCCTGTGGTGATTTGTGTGAATTACACCGTTGCAAATCGAGTCTAAATAAACGTAAAAATGTTTTGCCCTCCTGTGGTGATTTGTGTGAATTACACCGTTGCAAATCGAGTCTAAATAAACGTAAAAATGTTTTGCCCTCCTGTGGTGATTTGTGTGAATTACACAATTGCAAATCAAATCTTATAAACATAAAAGTGTTATCCTCTCCTGAGATGACTATAGGCCTTGCAACTTCAGCCTTATTACCGCTAATCGGCTTTATCCTCCTGAGAAGATCTTTGCGAACTATATCGTCTAACGAACTAGTGTAAATGCGCTACACTTCTGTAAGAGGGTGAGAGGAGAAAAACATAAGAACTTCCAGACAGATCTATTTACACTATCTATGTTCCGTCCTGTCTTCTGTTCAAAATTCAAATCGAGTCGAAAAAACATAAGTGTTACGCCCTCCTGTGGTGATTTGTGTGAATTACACCATTGCAACAAGATCCTGCAGATGAGAAGATGACAGCTCTTAATGTCACTTTAACAGCACATATTACAGCTCAACCGCAAATAAAACTGATAAAACAGACGCAATCAAACGACACATAAATGAGGGAACCGAGTACGGCACAAGACTCACCTGTAAATAACTTTTACTTTAGCATGAAATCAAGTTCTCTTGTCAGTCGCTATTGTAGCGTTCCCTTTTTAATCTTTGAATGAATCGCCCTCTGATATTCACACTGTAAAGTGTAATAAGAATTGATATTGCAGTGTTTTCTGGGTATATGTGAGAGTCAGCAGGAGTTGTGTCTTGTGTGAAGCTCTGATGTTCTCCTGTTGCTTCCTGCTTTTATTCTACTTCCTGTTATGACTGGGATCTGAGAGTGAAAACTGCCTTTAAAATGGTATTTAAAGGTGCTGTGTACGGTTTTTAGCGGCCTCTAAACGCTGGAACCTGGGGGCGCCAAGTCCCCGAATTCCCCGCGAATTCTCCGGACTTGGCGCCCCCCCTCATTAGTGCATAGATATATGCAGCATAGATATAGCACTGTTCTATATCTATGCTGCATATGTCTATGCGCTACTTAGGGGGGCGCCAAGTCCGGAGAATTTGCACAGAATTCGGGGAGAATTCGCGGAGAATTTGGGGACTTGGCGCCCCCAGGTTCCAGTGTCATTAGTGCATAGACATATGCAGCTTAGATATATACACAGTGTCGTCTTCAGTGGCTCAGTGGGAGCAATACCGGCTCTGAAGCGAGTGGTTGCTGGTTCTGTTCCAACTTCTTGTTGCGTTTAGACTCCGTTTCGAAAGATAAACGTACAAAGAGAACCGCCAGAACCGCCAGAACCGCGTTGTCTTCAGTGGCTCAGTGGTAGGGGCTCTGAAGCGAGTGGTTACAGGTTCAATTCTACCTTCTTCTTGCGTTTAGACGTGCAGTGGTTAAACACATGTTCTGTGAAGGTAAGGATGCGCTGAAGTTAAGATTCAAATCCCAATTCAGCTGTTTGTCCGCATAATTTAAATAAAAGTGTTATCAATAGTTGTTATATCAAACAAAGTGGCCAAAACACCAGCTCTCAAAGCGAAAGCCGCAGTGGTGCAGTGGTTAAACATATGTTCTCGGCTGATGGGTTGCACTGGAGACATGGGTTTGATCCCCACCTAATCCCAGGTTTCAGATCCATGTTTGTTAAAGTTATTCATCATTTAACACACAACTCTAAATCAAACCGGTTGAAACCGCTCTTCATCTCAACAGACTCAGTGGCTCAGGAGAAAAAGAGTTGTGTTTCAATCACAGCGTCCTGAGTTCAAGTCCCACTATTGCTGATTTTCAATAGTTCTCATTAGACAAGCAGCCCCAAAAACCAGCCGTCAATGTGAAATCCATGATGGGCCAGTGGATAAACACACACTCTCTGAGGACAAGACTGATGAAGATAAGGGTTTGAATCTCACTTTAACTGCTTTATTGGAAACTCTCGGGATAACAGTGAAATATAAGTTCCAGCACATGTCTCAGCAAGAGATCTGTGGCTCACAGGTAAGAGCGCTGCCTCACGGGTTCAGAGGTTGCTGGTTTGATCCCGGTCAGATCTCTGCAATACCAGTGGATGTTGTGTGAGTGTCGTGCCCAAAGGAGGGGGATACCAGTACGGTCTCCCCCCGGAGCTTCTGGGACAGTCAGCCACAGGGGTTATGCTTTTTGGAAACGAGGGGGGGAAAAAAAAGGTTTTTATATAAAAATTTCCCCTCCTCGTCCCTTCCCCAACAGCTTAGGTTCCCATCATTTGCTTTTCAAAGGGGGAGGCCCTTCAAAATGACAATGATGGGAACCTACATGTTTAGTACAGTAAAACAAGCATGTACATTACCTGTCCATCAGGAGACGTCCATCATTACAGTCAATGTATGTCCACACGTCCCACAGCTCTGCTTCTGATGACTGGATATAATGGTCCAAACACATTCCTTCTGTAAAGAAAGACATGAACAAAAAAAAAAAAAAGATTATTTTTCAAAGATTAAAAAGATAGTTTTAGAAATACTCTATATTCTACATCTATAAATGAGAATGTGAAAGTTAGTCTAAAGACTACTCAATAGAAAGAAATTGAATACATTAAAAGTCTAAAGTTGTACAGTGTGAAAATATATTACTATTATAATATAGTATAGTTCAGTAAGTCTGGATCAATAATAATCTTTTAATTCAATTCAAATTAGGTGTATTTTCTTCAAAATAAACAAGATTAATTGAAAACAAAAATTGTATTGCTTAATGTTACTTTTTTTGTATTTTTTTCTTTATTAATGTTATTCATAATCAGAAATCAGAGTGTGTTTGAATATGTTTGCTGAGGAGAGATTAGGGATGAGCTATAGTTTAGTTTGCATAGAAATATTGTGTGCAATGACACATCAATGTAACACAAAAATAAACAAGATCTCTTGACAAAATAACTGGTGTAGCTTCCGTGATTCAACCATAATTGGGACAAGCTTAAGTTTTAAATTACAATAATCCTAAAAGGCTGGTTTCCTGCACACGGTTTAACCCTGTTCTGTTCTGGACTGTATCTATGATGGTTTTCATTAGAAGTAAAATCACTGCAGCTCTACACAAGCATGAAGCAGCAGAAACATCAGAGTAACTGACTCTATTAACAAACATCAATCCAGTATATTACCTACAGTAAGACTACAATAACAACAACACACACACACACACAAAAAAAAAAACAGCATTCCTTACTATTCTGATTGTACATGTAAAGCAACACACGATTAAATTGCTCTTCTGAAGGCCTGTGTCAGTGTGTGTTCAGAAAAATAAGAGTTTTTTCTCTTTTTATAGAAGACGCGAATGCTTTCATAAAAAGCTTAAACAACATTTAGTTTACAGACACCATAAAAATTACACTGACGAGCCCTGCTATGATGACAATTCAGCAGAACGATGCGTCAGTGAAAAATATAACAAAACATAAAGCGTCGCGATATCATTTTACAAAAGAAATCCACTTTATGTCCAAAGTTACTTACCGAGAAGTTAAATGACACTCAATTCCCGCATGTTATCGGTTTATTTGCTGAAATATGTCCAGTTGTGTGCCTGTCATCTGCACATGTTGTAGCGTCTGTCATCAACAAGCGTCAATGTTGCCAAGGAGCCGAAAGGAGTCGCTCTGACAGTGAAGCCCGCTCACGCCGCCTAGTGGAGCGGATGAACACTGCGCTTCGGTTTCTGTCATTCAGCTAAATAAATAAACATACAAGTGTTTGTGGTGATTTGTGTGAATTACACTATTGCAAATTGGGTCTAATAAACATAAACGTGTTGCGCCCTCCTGTGGTGTGAATTACACAGTTGCAAATCAAATCTAATAAACATAAAAGGAACCACAACACTCAGACCACTGAGCCACAGGAGCTTCTTCGTTTCAGTGTTTCTGTTTGTCTCAAACAATCAAAGTAAAGTATTTTCCACCACAAAAGTGAGATTTGAACCAGGATTTTCAACACAGAAGAGCCACTTTCAGTTGTAACAGTTGGACGTCCTTTTTGAAAATTGGTCTTTTATTTGGACCAAAGCAGTGATATTAAAGATTTTTACTGGATTCTCCACACAAGAGAGCGACACTCACACCACTGAGCCACTGGACCTTCGACACTCACACTTCTTTTTTTGGGGGGGCATGTCTTTTTTTTTCTTTTCAACAAATCCGACGAAACTAAAGCAAAGCATCATAAGAGCGAAGCTCAAACCCGGGTTTCCCACATGGAACCACAACGCTCACACCACTAAGCCACAGGACCGTCTACGCTCATGCACTTCTTTTATTGTGAGCATGTCTTCTTTTCTCTCGGACAAACCCGACAAAACCAAAGAAGCATAAGAGCGAGGCTCAAATCATTTTGGAGAGAAAAACTTCACATTTTTATTAGATAATCCACTGCACCTCCACACTATTCAGCCGTCCTCCTCCTCCTGGATAAGCCACATCTCCTCCTCATTTCTCCAGCCACTCATTTTTTGGAGATCTGACCAGGATTTGAACAGATCTCTTATCCTTCACTTGCTGGAACTCATATTTCACTATTGTTATTCTACAATAAACCAGTTAAAGTCAAGTGAGACTCAAACCTGTGTCTGTCGCAGCCTCGCACACAGAGAGTGTGTGTTTGACCCGACTCTCACCCGTGCAGTGCTGAGATCTGAACACAGGACATCATGATTCAAACACAACTCTTCATCTCCTGATTCACTGACCAGGTTTTGGAGCTTTTATTGTTTTCTGGAGTAAATGATGAAACATAAGCAGAGCTGGGGTTAGGGCCGAGGATGTGCGGGTGTTGTGTTATTCTCATTTATACTGAAGACTGACTAAAGGTGAAAAGTGAGATGTTTCAGGACTGATTCAATCACGACACACACAGGTCACATGATTCCATTTATTCTGCACACACACTTTATATTCACAGACTTGAACGTGCGGCGTATAAATGATATTTCTGAGGGTTTGATGGCATCATCATCATCATCACTAGAACGAGACTGCAGGAGGGTTTGGCCCGATGTCCTTGTGAAACTCAAATAATTAATCTGACACATCCATTACATTTATACAGCTTCTCTTTTGGCAGTACGATTCAATTCAGTACAAAACAATATTATCTTGCATAATAATGATGATAATAAAAAATTCTACAAGCTTGACCCATAATTCTCCCCGTACATTCACAAGCGGCGGATAATAATGTGACGGAAGTTCAAGTAGTGAATAATAGATCAAATCAATATTTGCTGGGAATATTGATGTCCTGATTCATGACGTTACAGTATAAATATGATCATAAGTATATCTGAGTGTTTTCCGGGATGAAGGCAGAACCGGATGGCACTAAACTACACACTCCTGCGGTGTGGCGGGAGCTACGGGGATCAGCGCTCTCGCTTCTCACGCGTGTTCGTCCGCGTCCGAGCCCGCGCCGTTATCGGACGGGTCCAAGAGTTCTTGGCGGCGGCGCATTATGGCAGCGAACTGAGCGCGCTCCGTGGCGTCCTGTAAAAGGTCAGAGGTCAAAGGTCAGAGGTTGTTGCCCTCATCGAAGGACTCCACGCCAGAATCACTCGCTGCCAGCTTCTCCTGCCGCCTCCTCATGATCTCCTGCAACTCCGAGCCCGAACTCCTCTACACACACACACACGGAGAGAGAGAGAGAGACAGCAGTCAGACTCACACACGTCACAACACACACTCATTTAAACAAGATCATACCTCCAAACACCTGCAGCATGATGGAGAGAGAGAGAGAGAGAGAGAGGAAGGGCAGAAATGAGTGAGTGATGATGAAGGTTCAGCATTAAACTAAGGGATTCTGGGAAAAGGGTTTGATCCTGAAACTACGACAGAATCTATTTAAATCTCGGACACACTTTACAGTGAGGTTCACGAGTTAACTTCAGTCTCCACTCCTGAAGCGGACCGGAAGAGTTCATCAGAGTCTGTCCCGACACCAGAACATGGAGAACTTTGAGGATCCTCTTCAGATGTGAACTAATAACTGCACTGCATTTATTCATCCTTCTTTAAGTATTTATTCATTTCAACATATACTAATATTTTATTCAAATCTAACACTGAACAAACGATGAACATCTGTGTTTTTATTAACTAACATTAACAAAGATTCATAAATATTGTACATAAATGTATCGCTCATGCATAGTTCATGTTACATTGATAAATGAACCTGATTGTAAAGTGAAAGCTAAATCTCATTTACAAGAAAACAAAACGTGCTGTTGAAGGGAAACACACACAGTATAACGGCTGAAAGTTAAACTAGTCGAGGTGTATTTTGCACCGTTAAACTCTAGCTCTATGGATAAACTAATAATTATTGATGGAGAAATGACTGGAATAGCAGCAGACGGACTGGGTTACAGAAGTAAACTCACGGTTTTCCAACAGACTTAAAGAAAAATAGACAATATTGAGTTGAACACACGATTGGATGAGAATAAAGAGCCGCTTTACAGCGGAAACTCAGTTATGAACTGGTCAACACTCAGCTTTTCAAATGCAACATGTATTGTATAAAGTGCAATAGAAAGAAATCATTTATTTATTTCTTCTATAGTTTCAAATACAGTTTCAGAAGGTTAGTTGCATACCCATATAAAGGATTGTTAAGTATCAATGCGAACAGAATTTTCTACTTCATTGGAATGGAACGAAACTGTAAAGATCAGGAGAGATCAGCTCACATGCGGAGCACGGCTTTCATTTTCTCACAGTTTTAGAGCAAAACGGGATTTTGAACATATATAATTCAAATAAAAATTGAAATAGTATTTTACATGCATTTTTCATAATAATACACATAAAATTCTGTTACTTTTTAAGTTCACTTTTTAAAACGTTTCTCACTTCTGCAATAATCTTCAAGTGTCGTGTTTTGAGTAGAGATCTTCAGTCTGTCCTCTAAAGCGTTCCAAATTCACCAGATTCAGTCGTAATGCTCAAAACGTGAATAAATGGATTATAAATACAGCGTTAATATAATTTAGAATAATAAAATCTCCTAAAAATATTAAATAAAAAACATCATCAAACTAAAATATTGAACATTTATTTCTTTGACAAACATTAAAATAAAAAATTCTGTCACTTCTGTCCGACACGCGCAGAGCCCGAGACCTGCAAGTGTTCTTACTTAGGAAGTGTTATTTCTGAATGTGTGTTTAAAGTGTTTGTTCTCGGTTCTGTGAACGTTACGGGAACAGGGACACTGTATCATTCTTCACACATTATGTGAATGTTACATTTGAATCTGAACATTCTAAAAACAAATAGTAACATTTTAAAAAAAAACATTAGATGAACGTTCCAGGATGTATCAATAATGTTTCTGCGCTTCTAGCCTCACTACGATCAACTAAAGTACCTTCAGAGGAACGTGGAGCACGTGTGGAGATCATGGGAGGCTCAGAAGAAAACCTGCAGACAGTAAAAACACCACAGAAACCACAGCGACACTCGCCAGCGTTGAGCAAAAACCAGTTCAACTAACCAGCGGATCAATCAGGAGACTCGACTGGGAACACTATCACTCTGCTATTCTGAGGGAGGGTGTGATGCTGCGCTGATGCGACACACACACACACACACACACACAGGGTTCCCACACACACACAGGGTTCCCACACACACACACACACACACACACACACACACACACACACACAGGGTTCCCACAGACACAGGATTCCCACAGACACACACACACACACACACACACACACACACACACACACACACACACACACACACAGGGTTCCCACAGACACACACACACAGGGTTCCCACAGACACACACACACACACACACACACACACACACACACACACACACACACACACATACACGTCTATATTACTAAAAGGGGACTATCACTCTACACTGGCCAAGAGGGGACTAGTGTTTCTGGTCATTTTGAAGAAACAAAAATGACGTACAAAATTCTCTTTTAAGGTCTTTTTTCATAATATAACTTTAAATATGCATTTTTTTATTTTTAAAAAAACATGCCAAGTGGGGACCTGAAACTCTGGCCGATGTCTACCTTACCAACAGGGGACTCATATAGCCTGCAATTGAACTGTATGTCTGTGTGAACAGTGAAGTGAACTGGCAGTGAAATCTTGTCTTCATATTGTAACTTATACATACTTATACACATATATGTGTGTGTGTGTGGGTGTGTCATTATATAATGCTCAAACATATACATGTCTATATTGCTACACAGCAGTGTCGCTGTACACTGGCGAAGAGGGGACATTCTGAACGATATCTATCCAACCAAGTGGGGACTTTGTGTGTGTGTGTGAACTGGCAGTGAAATCTTTCTTCATTACGCTTACATTATATATCTATTATATACATTATATATATATATATATATATATATATATATATATATTCACATAGAAAAACGCTGTTTTAAATTGTAATAATATTTCACAATATTTCTGTTTTTTTTTTTAAATAATTGCAGCCTTGGTGAGCAGAAGAGACTTCTTTTAAAAACATAAACAATCTTACCGATCTAAAACTATATATTTCTATACTACTAACAGCAGTGTCGCTGTACACTGGCGAAGAGGGGACATTCTGAACGATATCTATCCA